TCCCATCCTCTCTTTCCCCTGGTTCCCTTTAGAGAAGTTACCCCTCTCCACCCTCAGACCACATGGCCCAGGCAGGGATAATCTGACTCTTAGTTCCAATCAGAACCCTGTATTCTCTTGGCCATGATGACTAGTCATGGACCAGCGCGTGAGCCAATCGAGAATGAGATCACTGCAGCTGGCAAGCAGGTAGGTTGTAAGCCTGGATCTGCTACCAGGCAGGGCTTGCCCAAGAATGAAATCCACATAGCTCAGCAGAGCTGAGGGACAAAAACATCAATGAGCCTCTGGTGCCTGCCAGGATGACTCCTGGAATTTTCAGTGACCCTCCCTGTCCAGTGCAGGTGAGCATTACTCACAGCTGGCAACTGCTCACACAATGGAACATTCCTCCCCTCTGACTACAGGCTAATATCAATGTAGGTATATATTACAGGCATTTCTTGCTTATTGTGCTTCACTTTATTGCGTTTTTTTAAACAAATTGTTTGTGGCAACCCTGCATTGTTTATTGGCGCCATTTTTTCCAACAGCATTTGCTCAGTTCATGTCTGTGTCACATTTTAGTAATTCCTGCAATATTTCCAACGTTTCCATTGTTATATTTGCTATGGTGACCTGTGATCAGTGATCTTTGATGTTACTGTTGCAAAAAGATTTAGACTGGCTGAAGGCTCAGAGGATGGTTAGCATGTTTTAGCCATGAAGTATTTTTAATGAAGGCATGTCCATTGTTTGGACCTAATGCTGTTGCACACTTAACAGACTACAGTATAGTGTAAACATAACTTTTACATGCCCTGGGAAAACAAAAACCCTGTGACTCGCTTTACTGCAGTGGTCTGGAACCAAACCTGCAATAGCCCCGCGGTCTGCCCGTATATGTAATAAAAGGAAGTGTGAAAACAGCCTAGTTTGGGCAGATCTACAAAAACCACCATTTTAAATGTGTGAAAATTGCCCACTTGTAGCTAATGCTTTTAGTCTTACTTGCAATACTCAAGTTACTCAGATTACAATTTGGGCACATTTCATCTCAAAGCTGAGTGCGTAGTTTCACGTTCTGTCTGTCCATCTTTCTTTGTGGGAAGCCGTGACAATTCACGACAATCTCTTTCAGGAATCCACCAACGTGGGGATCCAGGTATGGCATCTGCCTGAGAGGTTTCCAAAGGAAAAATGGGTAGAAGGCTTCCCTTGAGTTACGTGACACCGCGTTGCAGAAACCACCAGTCACCGGCTCCAACGACAACGGGCCGTCCAGTTGGCCAGAGCTCGGTGTGCTATGTGGCACCAGAAGTCCAAGGTATGGCTCCGGGGGCCCTATCAGAGGGCAGCGCCCCTGCAGACCTGGAGAGAAAGGCTTGATGGGGATCTGTGGCAGGACGCTGCTTGAGCGGCCCCTGCTGTGGACTGGGTCCCAGCTTCAACCCTCCAGGCAGGTAGCCTGAGCTCCAAAAGGGCTCGCAAAACCCCCATCTGGTAACACGCAGATGGTTATCCTGCAGTTAAATCTTTTGTTGCCCCCTCCCTGTATCTTAGCAGACAGGAGTAAGTGGACATTTGAACGGGGCTGCTGAGTTTTACGTGCACGCGATGGCAACTGTGTCCGACTGTAAGGTTCATGGTTTTCAGAAACGTGTGCATGTACACAAGTCCTCACAGCCAAAAAAAGTTCTGCTGTAACCTATCACTTTTAGGAGAAAAAAGAGAAAGATGACCAAGAACGGAGTAGAAGAAGTATTCAGGAATTAGGCGCGGATATCAGAGGCCACTAAAGATAAATGCCACGTGGAGACCGCAGAGTGGCCATGATGGCTGTGGTGGACGTTAGGAGCCAGAGCCGCACCACACGCCTGGCCTGCTCGCTCACACAGCTACTTCCTCAGACCCACAGACGAGCAACGAAAGCTCATGGAGCTTCAGCTTCTCGTAACATCCTGCAGGAGAGCTGCTGCAGGGATCAAATAGGAAGACGTACACAAAATGCCTTTGCCTGGTGTACTCTGTTCGACAAAAGGTGGCAATTATTACGTGTATCACCATCATCAGCACTTAGGCAAGCATTCTACTCAGAAACGGTGATCTAAAGGATCAACCACTTGCTACCATCAGAACCACAGTCCCATTCCTTCAACAGTGAACAGGCTGCTGTAAACAGGTTGCATCCTGGGACTACTGAAGCCTGTGGACAAAGTGCGGGCTGGCAGAAGTGAGTGGTTCTCTCCTGTCTACTCACGTAAGGTAAGGCATCTGTCAGCTTGCCCACACTTGTTTTTTCTTCTCCACTAACTTGCAGGAACAGGCACAAGGAATAAAATGAAACCTTATTACATGTCTTAACGAAAGCATCTTTCTTGCACGTGGCTTAAAATATTGTGCATGTTAAGCATATTGTGCTAGATAATGGATTAACAACCACTGAAGCCTGGCCTTAGAAATAATCCGGCCAGAGAAAAGAGAACCAGGCTCCCACCTTTCACTGCAGTGCCAGTGTTTACAAGAGCCCCACCACCACGCCCACCCACCCATGGTGCTCCTCTCTGTGCTCTCACAGCATCCCATACCTGCATGATGCCATCAGCCCTGACCTCACTGTCCTGCAGTTACTGGCTTCAACAACTGCCTTTCCAGAAGACTCCAGGAAGGGAAGCAAATGGACAAAACTATCGTTCCCAGGACTCAACTTGGTGCTGCAAACACAGTAGATGCAACACAAAAGTGTACAAATAAAGTGAATGGAACACATGTGCTTATTTGAAAGAATTCACAAGACAGGAGACTGCATTAAAAGTCAAAAAAGGAAACATCAAATTTAATTTAAAGAAAGAAACCCAGAAATTGTCCGAAAAAACAACGGAGCAAATCAACTCCTGAAGAAGTTCTGCATCTTGGTGATCACATTTATTGGAAGGGTTGGACAAAAATAAAAATGCCATTTAGCTTAAGAATTTGTGAGTTATCTGCAAATCAACTTATTTCAGAAGCGGAAGAATTCTTGGTTATTTCTTAAAATCAAAATGTACGCCGGTTTCTCTTTTGAGTATCTTCTACATTTAAAGAGGCAATCATACAAAATCTCCTATTCTCCACACAGGATAAATTCTTTGTTTCAACCAACTCTCAATGGTGGGGCAACTAGCACAACACCGTCTCCCCGGACAAAGAGCATCGGAATATTCCGTTTTGTCGACTGGAAGAGGAAAAAAAACACAGAACACATTTATACAAATTTGTAGTAGTATTATTTATTTTTCGAGAGAGAAACTTGAACACAAAAAACCACAGATTCATCATAACACAAACAAATTGCTTAAAAAACCTGTTCACTTACCTTCGTGGCACAAAGAACCATCTACTAACCGTTTCTTTTCCTGGAACACAACTGGGGCAGAGGCATCCGCTATCCACCCAGCCCTTTCTGCCCCTCTTCTTGGCACACAGCTAGACCACATTTTTCATGCTCCCTGCCAACCAGATGGTGCCACGGACTGGGTTTTAACCAATGGAAAGTGAACAGAAGTGATAAGCAACCTCCCACAAAGGTGCCTCTGTGTTCTCCTGCGACCATGAACTCAGATTATGGAGAACCCTGGGGATGGCAGAGCCAGGAAGCCTGGTCCCTGACTGAGCACCTGGAAGAAAGCTACTGTACCGACCTAAAACCTCACTAAAGACTGTTGTGTGGGTACAAATAAAATCCTACCACGCTAAGCCCTCATGTGTTGCTTCTATGTGCTACTGCACTCATATACAGAATGGATACCTTTTGCATTAGCCTAGGGAACAAGCCTTAGGCTGTAAGGAAACAGATATGGAAGGTCTGAAATTTTCTCATGCCTCGGCAAAACATTAAGTAAAACTGTTGCCTGCAGTGACTCCAAAGATAGTCCAAAAGATGTCCCAAACCTACAGGTTCTGGGGAAGTGGTTGGAAAAAGCCAAACATTAGTAGTGTTGCTGTTAACCTGATGCACTGGGCAGGGTAGTGTAAGGAAGAGATGAACTTAGGTGAGAACTAGCTGGTTTTCAAGCAGAGATTACAAGAAACAGCATTCATGAGGTCATAAAAGCCAACTGTTTTTAGACTCCCAACTGTGGACAATAAGCAGGAAAATGCGTTGAGGAACAAAGCGGCCCTGTAAATTTTCTCAGGTAAACAAGCTCAGCCCTGAGGGGAAGATCAGATTAAGGGTGTCCCTTTCCCACCCAAATTTACTTTAGCAAATGACCCAAGGGAGTCAACGTTAATTTGTGGGAGAGGTAGTTACACAAATCAGAGGTGAGGAACAAAAGAAATAAAGGTGTCTACAAGTTCTGTACAGAAAAAGACTTTGAGGTGACTGGCCCAAAGAACTGATTGGAAATAAACAGATCAGAGATATATGAAGTCATAAGTTTTTAAAGAAATGGTATTGCCAAAGAACCCATACATAGCCTGGCTGAAAAAAGCCTTTGACAATTTGAGTCTTCCAGCATAAGTGAGGCGTTTCTGTGAACGTTCTGCAGCCTCCAGATTTAGCAAATAAAAATACAGGTTGCCCAATTAAATTTGAATTATAGATAAATGAAAAAGAATTTTTTTTAGTATGTCCCAAATATCGCACAGGACATACATGACCTAACCAAGGGATTTCTTCTACTACTGCCTCCCCAGGGGATCCATCAGTGCGAAGGACCAGTAACTGCTCTACGTTCCAGTTCTTTCCTTTTCTGAAAGGGAGTTTTTATGGCAGCAGATATCCTGTCCCTGCTGTGCTACAGTGGAGGTGGGTGGGGCAATGACAATTAATTTATCCTTTTTAGCTTACAGGAATCTGTACCACAAGTGACCACATGTAGGCCCGACGAAGAACTCTCCCTCCACCAGGTAGAAAATATTGGTAATAGCTATGTCTTCAGAACTTTTTAAAAATGTAAGAACCATGTTTTATGAGCTTCTTGGGTACTGGAACTAACATAAAAGGAGAACCCCCAACAGTAAATTCAAGTAGTACCTATAAATGTAGCATGCTAAATCAAGAACACTTATGTGTCATCCATGAATGTATCTAACTCTTTAGATCACCTTTAGGGCTGTTTCCTGGCTCCATGCCCAGAGATCCTCACTCAGTAGGCCAGGGTGTGGCCCATGAACCTGCATTTCTAACACACTCCAGGTCTGCCCATACTCCTGGTTCGAGGAACACACTCTGAGAATCACTCTTGGAGAAACAAGGATCATGTCTGCTGTCTGCTACTGGGAAGCAGCACTGCCTTCTGGTTTCCTTCTAGTTGCAAAAGGCAACTTAGTCTTACCATAGCCAGTTCAGTGAAGGAGCCAGCGCTCATCAAAATAACTGATATATTTTACTCAAATACCTCACTCAGTGGTCACACTTCTGAACTAAAAAGTTCCAACCTTACCTTCATATGGAAACCACTTCATCCGAAATGATTCTCTATTAATTCAATTACAGTTTTCTGGAGATACAAGTAAGCAGCTTCTATGATCGCCCCCAAGGATCCCTGCCTCCTGGTGTTCACCCACTTGTGTAACCCCCTCCTTCTGAGTGTGCGTAAAATTTGTGCCTTGCTTCTAACTAGTAGAATCTACAAAGTTAGTGGGATGTCACTATCATGATTAGGTTACATAAGATAGTTACTTCCACCTTGCTAGCCAGCTCTCTTGCTGGGTTTGATGAAGCAAGCTGCCAGTGGTAGAGGCCCTGCAGCAAGGAACTGAGACGCTCTCAGTCCAAAACGCTCGAGGAAATGAATCCTCTCAACAACCATGAAAGTGAGCTTAGAAGCAGGACCTTCCCCACTTTAGCCTTCAGATGAGAACCCAGCCTTTGTGCGGCCTTGTAAGAAACCCTGAAGCAGAGGACCCAGCTGAGCCTGGACACCTGACCCACACAAACTGTGAGCTAATAAATGTGTATACTTTTAAGCCACTAAGTTTTCGGCTGACTTGTTATATAAAATTCTAAGATATAATGTCCAAATAACTGAGAAAATCATGAACAGAAACAGGGAATTGAGAAGGAGCTCATTTTGAAGGTGAAGAACACCAGAAGTTTAGTTTTATATATACTGAGTTTGAGATAACATCCAACGTGGATATATTTTCAATAAGAATACTGGAAATGAGAGAGTGAAGCTTAGAAAAGAAAAAAGCTGGAGACACAGATTTATCCATTAATCATAATGGCCAAAAATCACCACTTGCCACCAGCTTTACAAGCACCAAATTCACTGCAACCTGTAATCCTGGGAGGAAGGCACAAGTACTGTATTGGCATTTTACAGAGGAGGTCCCTGATGCTTAAAAAATTTCTAGAACTTGCCCAAGGTCATATAACTAATCACCAGCAGCCAGGATTTGAACCGAGATCTGTTAAGCCAGAGCTCAAGCTTTCATGCTGTACTATTATTACAGATTGATGGCTTATAACAAACAGTAATTACTAAATGACATCTGAGGGGGGAAAAAAAAAGCAGATTAAAAAAAAAATCCCACGTTCAGAGGGAGAAAGAAAACTAGCCACGGAGTCAGGAGAACACTGACATGTGAACACTGACATGTGAACACTTACTATGTGTCTGTCGCCACCTGAAGGCTTTTCATGGAATCTCTCAATGAATCCTCAATAGCTGTATGAAGTGAGTCGTATTACCAACCCCATTTTACAGATACAGAAACTTAGTCACAGACAAGTTGGGTAACTGGTACAATTATATAGCTGGTAAGCAAGGGAGTCAAGATGTGAATCCAAGTGGTCCTGAGGGCCAGAGTGGCTTCTCAATACTTAAAAGACTGAACAACAAAATGTGCAAATATCTGGAAGATCTGCATAATTCAGTGAACCAATGTTTTCCAAACGACCAGAGCCTGATGTTACAAAACAATGCATGTATAAAAAATCCATTCCAAGCGCAAGGTAGACCAATGAATTTGCATATAACAAGAGAATTAAAAGTTCACTGCTATAGTTTCAGATTCTACACTACAACTAACCTTTAAGAAACTACTGCTTGCTGAGTTTGGGTGTAGTATCAAAGGCAAGTATCCACAAGAAATACTCCTCCCTTTCCAACTACCTATCTGTGTGACATTCACAATATAGCGCAACAGATTAAATGCAGAAACAAAGATGTGAGTAACTAGCTGTTGTCTATTAAGCCAAACATTTGCAAAACATAAAACAAAGACACTTCTTACTGAATATTTTGTTTTAGAAAATATAGCTATTATTCATAAAAATGTTACTTACATCAAAATGTAATCCATTTATTATTTTTTTAATTAAATATTTAAAAAATTTCTCAGTTTTAGTTTCTAGTAAGTATTGATACATAAGTCCACATCAAACAAAACATTGTCCAGTATTACTGTTATACACCAGCACACAGAGGCATCTTACACAGCCATACCTCAACGAATCTTGGCAGCCCTACGACAGAAGTGACTGTATTCCTGCTTACCAGAGAGAAAGTTACATCTGCAAAGGTACTTCCCTTGTCCAACGTACCCCAGATAGGAAGTGGCCAAACCAGCACTGGAAACCAGGTCTGTCCAACCCCAATGCCTTTGGTTTTTTTAATTCCTACACTCTACTGAGTCCATGAATAGGTATCAAAACACGACAGGCTTTCCATAAATAACTGTTGGATTCTGAGAACAACTGACATTTTAAAAGCGATGAATGGAACTGCATGACTTACTTTATATATCTCTTCATATGTTTCTTCATCAATTTCTATAGTTGTCACAGTTTCTTCCACATCTCCCAATATCATATTTAAATGCTGATCATAAGCCTGAAATGGGAAGGTGAGGGACCAAGAAATGTAATAAGCAAATTAGGAAATAATAAACAGGGCTTATAATATGCAAATCACTCAATTACAAGTAACACATAATACTTACACCACAAACTTTTACATGTAAATAAAAAACAATCCTGCTGTGCTAATATACTGTTTCTCTGCCAATCATCTCCAATGATAACTTAAATGACCGGATACAAATATAAAACTATTATGGTCAAAAATGAATTACTCAAAATAATTTGAAATTATTTTTAAAGTGCCCACCCTATTTGCTATCTAAGGCAGTCACATAAATATTTATAATATTTAATTACGAAAAAAAGCCAGTTCATATACCTTTCAGTATACTTCTTTCAATTCCATCTGTAATAGCGTGACAAGAAAGATACAGTAAAGGAAATAAAATTGTTTAACTGCTAAGATGACAGCAATGCACTCTCCTAAAAGCACAAGACCCTGTCACTCAACACGCCCTATCCTAAACTAAACACCACAAAGTAAAGTAAGTAGAGCAACACCCTGCACATTATAGCCTCACCAGAACTAGCTTTTCGGCACCTGTGGGCTTGATCAACAAATATTGCAACTCAGATATTCAGGGATGTCATCAATCCAAGCTCTAAGGCTCATGCATTTTACTAAAAGGTGAAGCTCCAGGGGGTGGGAGGGAGGGAGTGGCTTGTTTAGAACCCACTTATGCTTACTTCTAGCCAAGTGATAAATGGTTCACCAGCTCACATCAAAATAAAAATAGCCAATTAGCAACACGGGGAACTGCTGGGCAAAGCAACAAACGGGGGCAAAGATCTACAGATGAGGGCCAGAAAACAAAAGGTTGGGGGTCATTCAGTACAGAGGCAATTGAGTGTAGGCAGGGAACTGAAGAACCCTCCAAGAGTTAAGGCAACACGTCTGTCCTGGGGTGTTTGTCTACTTGCCACTGGCCCACGTGATTAAGTTCAATTCTATTTTTCTCTGCGAAGCTGCCACTATTACATTACCCGGGGGGCTCCTCTTCCTTTCTGTAATTTAAGGCTCCTAGGTCCCTACTTCCTTTGCAAGCACAGGAGGTTCTTTACCTTTAGGTTTCATGTTAGGTAGAGTCATAGTACTTAAGAGGAGGCTGCCTAAGTTCCTAGCCTGGCCCTCTTTTTACTGGCTGTGTCACCTCAAGCAAGGTAACTTCATCCTTCTGAGCCTGAGCTTCTTCAAATGTAAAACGGGATCATGAATATCTACCCTCGTAGAGTTGTTACAGAGATTAAATAAGATATTACATGCAAAACGCTTAGAGTAACAGTACCTGGCATATAATTAATGCTCAATGAAAAGTAGCTATTTTTAATCACTTTAGGGTAGAATGGTAGTAATAAAAACAACTTACTCAGGAAAGTAACGAGTTATCAAGAAGAGGCAAAACCTTTAGTATACTCTCTTTATGAATAAATGGGACCACCTCAAGGGACCAATCCCATAGAAATATTTGCAGATATACACAAAGGTCAATGTATAAAAATGCTTATAGTAGTAAGAAATGGAAAGCAATCCGAATATCACTGCTACCATATACAGAATTCTACATAGTCATTTATAAAAATAAAGGAGATTTATATGCACTCATGATCAATAATTTCCAAGAACAATTAAGTGACAAAGAAAGGTGTCCCCAAAATGTATAGCAAGATCCCATTTATTTTTTTTTAGAGGTGGTGTATATAGTGCAAATATATACATACAGACACACATCCTCGTATATATGTGTAAATATGCAGAGAAGACCTGAAAGACTATAGACTCAAAAGAAGAAATGGCATTTTCCCTTTTACTCTATGTATGTCTGTGCTGTCTAAAATTTTTCACAACAAAACACAAATTTATATATATGTCAGTAATTTAAAGAACACTTAAATGAGAATGGACGACAAATAAATGTTATTTACAAATAAACACAGGAAAAAATGAAATGAAAATATTCTTTAATAAACACACCATTTCCGTTAAGAGAAATAAATGTTAACAATATGAATAAAACACAGTTGCATTTGGCTTTTGGAAATATGGCTGACTTTCCACCTCCTCCTTGTCTACATTCAAACACTCTTCCAGAGTGGACAGTTGTTACATTTCAAAGGGGTGGGACAAGGGAGCAACGGTAAGGAAATAACCTGATTTCAAGGTGATTTAGTAAATTTACTCACATGTAGCCTGCCTCGAAGCTCTCTGTCGTTTCTCATTTTCACATAGATGCGTTCGTCCAGACTGAGCCTGATGAGATCCAGAGGCTCTTCTACAGTGTTGGTAGTTTGTTGCTGATAAAAGAAACAGGCTTAGTAATACAGTACTAGAGAGTAAAGCATCTGAACCATCGGTGCCCCGCATGACTGTGGGCAAATTACTTAACCCCTCTATGCCTCAGTCTCCTAACCTGCAAAATGTGTGTAACGACAGTGCCTACCTAACACTGTTGTTGTGAGGCTTACATATTTGAAGGCATAGAACAGTGCCTGAAACAGAGTAAGTGCTAGATAAATGAGGGCTGAAACATACGTACACAGAAAGGAGTTATATGACAAAATAATCATGACGGCACTCTGTTCCCTCAAAATCCAAACTGTCTGACCCCATTTCACTGTGTAGGGAGTCACTCTCTCAGAGACTTCAGCTTTATCTCAAGTATCATTTAGTAATTTGAAGAACTTACATTTAATGACTACCACATACTACTCAGAATGCTAAGCAGAGATGAATGTTTTTTTGTTTTGTTTTTGCGGTACGTGGGCCTCTCACTGTTGTGGCCTCTCCCGTTGCAGAGCACAGGCTCCGGACGCGCAGGCTAAGCGGCCATGGCTCACGGGCCCAGCTGCTCCGCGGCATGTGGGATCTTCCCTGACCGGGGCACGAACCCATGTCCCCTGCATCGGCAGGCGGACTCCCAACCACTGCGCCACCAGGGAAGCCCCAGAGATGAATGTTTGAGGGAGGATTATGAGTTCAGTACAGGGCAAGTTGAGTTTAGGGTGCCATTTGGTCAGTAAGGTGAATATATTTAGCAGGCAATATAGAACACTGGTTGAAAGCATTGGCTTTGGAGTCAGGCAGTGTGGGTTCAATTCCTGACTCTGAAACTTATGAATTGGGATTAAAAAAATCATGCCATCTCTAATTCTCAGTTTCCTTGTTTACAAAATGAGGAAGCCACAATCTTCCCTTCATAATTCTTGTGAGGATTAGAACTAATGTATTTAACTGAAGTATTTGATGTATTTTAAATAGTATCTGGCAAACAGAAAAGTACTTATAAATGGTTCTTTTTATTACTATTAAAGAATTGTTGGAAACAAGTCTCAAAGAGACCAGGGCTAGGATGACCGGGGTCCATATGGAAGGGATGCTTGAAGCCAGGAGAGGTGATAAGATTATTCAAGGAGAGCTGTTTCAGTAAGTACCTAAGGCCAGTGGAGGAAGGTGACTGAATGTTACAGGCTCTACAGCCCTAACATAGGGTAAAAGCGGAGGGGGGGGGGGAGAAGAAAAAATACTGACTCACGTAGTCCCCATCCCCAGTTCAAGAGGTGTTTGTTAAGGACCAGCTATAACCAAATACTAGATTACAATGATACAGAAGTCAGTCCCTGCCCTCAAGTTCATTCTAGTGGGGAGAGGCATATAAATAAGTAAACATAACACTGTAAGGATATATACGTGACTGAGCCCTACTACCCACTGTCCACCCTTTTCATCCCGTAGTTTTAAACACTGCCTTTTCAAAGCGGACTCCCTGATCATTCGATTTATTCACTCAATAAATATCTGTTGAGTGTTTCCAGCACCGTTCTAAACCCCGAGGACAGAACAGTGAACAAAACTTTTGCTCTTAAGGCACTCACATTCCAATTGGGGGATCCAGGCATTAAACAAAGAAGCATATACTTAATGTGAACCAATAACATGCTAGGAAGAAAAATAAAGCAGACTGGGAGAGTGCCGTTTGATGCCAGGTGGCCAGAGAAGTCCTCTTTGAGGAGGTGAGATTTCAGTAGAAAGCTGAACAAGCTGTAACCTGATCCACAAAGATATCTAAGGAAGAGCATTTTGGAAAGAAAGGAGAGCGGGTGAGAAAGCCTGCAGGACCATCAGTTATTCTGAATACCAGGTCCTTGCTTGTTCCCTTCATACCACACCACAGCCCCGTCTATCGCGCACACTTATGTTTACTTTTTACTCGTCCTTCCCCGAATATAAACTTCAAGTGGGGCCAGGGACCACGTACTTCAATGCCAGTGTCCCAGGTGCTCAGAACGGTGTCCAACCACACAAAGACGATGCTCACTAGGTGTTTGTTGACTGTGCAACAACCGTTGCGCTCAGTAACGATAACAACTCCTTAACTGTACTATCAGGCTTTTTATCAGAATCCCGATAGGTCCGTGAGGCAGGCAAGGATAATTATTCCCCACCCTACAGAAAAAGGTGAGACTCAAGAGAAAGGAAGTGACGAGAGTGAGGAATAACTAGTTTCCAGCGGACTTCGAACAGAAAAAAAATCTCAAGGCCTGAGGCAAAATTGGGAGAAGGCGCGGTTAACCAAGAAACAGATTAAGGCCGTGAAGACCAAGAAAGAGGCGGCGTAATTGGCCACCTGGCCGTGAGCTTGGAGAAAGCAACCCTGACAGGCAAAATGGGGCAGAGCCAGGCCTGGGCGTGGGGAAGCCGCTCCGAAGCGAGTTCTTCAGAAGACACTCACCTGGTCCACATCGTCCGCCATCTTTCAAACCCTGAGCTCTTTCGCGCCTCTCGCGAGAGCACGAGAACTCCCTCCAGTCTTTGGAAAGGCGAGGACGCAATGCACCGGAAGTAGAAAAAATAGGTTTTGCTGCTTCTTGCTTCCTGCAGTTGGCATTGGTCCTTTGGGGCTGGGGCGGAGCTTTATCAGAGGCGCTGACGCTGGGGCGGGGGGAATTGGGTATCGGGTGTCTCAGTGAGGGGGCGTGGCCGCGCCTCCCCCCCGCCTGGGGGCGGAGCAAGCGCGCGGGCTGCGTCCCGTGGCAGCGAGGTGCGTCCAGCGTCTGCCAGTTCTGCCCAGGCAAAGATGGCTCGGAAGCGCACGGCGGGCAGGGAGCTGCGGGGAAGCGAGTTGCGCGGCCAGATGGCCGCGGGCAGGGGGCCGCGGGGACGTGAGTCACGCGGCCAGACGGCCAAGGGCGAGAGCAAAGCCAGGCGCAAGGAGAAGGAGGCGGGTGAGAGCGAGGCCGAGCCGGGCTTTGGGGGAGAGGCTGGAGGAGGGCAGGAGGCAGGCCGAGTGGGGGAGGGCGAGGCCGGCCTCCTGCAGGTGCGGGCGAGGCAGCCCCGCGCCCACCTGGGCCAGCGAGAAGGCGTTCCGGTGACCGCGGGAGGCAGGCGGCATGCGGCTGCCCCGAGCCTCCCCGACGTCGCTGCGCCTTTGCCCTCCGTGCCGGGAGCGATGCGCCCTTAGCGGTTCCGCGGAGCCCGGTCGGACCGCGAGCTCCCCTGCTCAGCGTCTTCCTGCTTTGCGTCACCCGCAGGATCAAGTTCGGCCTCCTGGTAGATGCAGAGGGTGAATAGGCAAGAGGCACTGCGGTTGTTTTTTGTCCCCACAAGACGAACGGACTTAGAGTGCTGGAGTGTGCTGATCTCCTGAATAGTACCTTTAGCCACATCTCACCTCAGAGCCCTAGCTTCGGATCCCACCTGACTTCTTCACGTGCATATCGAATAGGCTTCTTATATTTGCCCTGGGCAAAGCAAAACTCTTGATTTTCCCCTGTTAGACCTGCCCCTTCCCCAGTTTTCCCCTTCTCAGTAATTGATCCCTTCACTTCTTTAAGCAGACCCCTCCTGTTCCTTACACGCACACCTCCAGTCCTTCAGCAAGTCCTGTTAGTTCAACCTCAGAACCATATCTCCAACCTCTCCACTTCTCTTTATTCCCGTGGGCGCACCCCCTGCCCAAGCCACCCTCACTTTTCAGTTGAGCGACTGCAATTGCCTCTTCACTGGCCTCCTTACTTACTTTTATCCCTCACCACGGCAAGAGTTCTCCGTGCAGCGGTGCAAGTGATCTTAAAAAAAAATCAGATCTTGCCATGCTCCTACTCCAGATCCTCTGTGGCTTCCCACTGCTCTTGGCATAAAATCCAGATTCCTCACCATGGCCTACAAGATCCTATGTGATATGGCTCCTGCTTCTTCTGTTGTCTGCTACCACTGTCGTCTTTGCCAGATACCCTCCTTGTTGGCCTCCGTTTGGTTCCTCAGAGACGCTGTTATTTTTCACCTGAGCCTTTGCCTTTGATGTTCCTTCTCCCTAGAATGTTCTTCCATGGCTTTTGCCGTGGCTCACTTCTGTTCCTCCAGGTCTCAACCCAGGCACTCCTTGAGTATCCTGCCTAAGGTGGTCTCTCCCAGGTACCTCTCGTGACAGAGGCTCTGACAGCCTATGCCACATCTGGAATGGTCTTGTTCATTTATTTGCTTCCTTTTTCACCTGTCTTACCAGAATTTAAGCTTATGAAAACATGTCTTATTATTTTGCTGTATCCTATCTTGTCCTCCCCCCTTTCTCTGTGTATACTAAGTGCTCAATAAATATTATAAATAATTGCATAATGCATGCTGTAGAATGGATTTCTGGGGTACCTGATATAACTAGGTAGACGATTAGCCTAGGTCACCATCAAGGGCTCCTGTGACATAGATTCAGTAATTCTGTGATTGTGTTCATATTTTAAGGCCATCATTCATTCATTAGGAAATAGTCAAATGGTAACCATTTCTAAACTTAAAAGGTGATTTACCTCACAGTTAATACTACAAGTTCCATTTTATTCGTTGACTCATTCCTATAACATTTTTTGAGTACCTAATGTCTGCTGCACACGAGCTAGGTGACATGGGAGATAGAGGTTTCTTGGAGATTAGAGTAGGTAGTGTTCACATTTACCAAAAAAATATCCAAAACAGTGTGTGATTTCATGGGAGAAGGTATAAGGCTTTCTGACTTCTGAAGGAATAATCGGGAGAGATTGGGAAATGCTGTCTGAAGAAGATATGTTTGGTCTGCAACTTGAATAGGTAATATTTCAGCAAACGGCTGTGAAAAGGGGTTGTCATTCTAGGCAGAGGGAATGTATTCTGAATACGTGGCAATTAAAAAATTTTTTTGAAATCAAAAGGTATTGGAAGTGCCACCAGCCTGGGTAGGTAGCATTCCTCCCAGCTAAACACTTCACCTTGGTACCAGGTTGGTATAGCTCCAACATTTAGTAGTTATATGTGTTTGGGTTATATATGAGAGGCAAATAATTTAACCTCTCTGGACCTCGTCTGTGAAACTTAATTCAAACCTGCTGGGTGGCTGTGAATTTTCATTCCGTAAGGCTCCTGGTATGGTCCAGCTGAAGTAATTAGGTGGGCTAGCTCATATCAATTCAGCCTACACGTAGGCAAGGATGCACTTAAGCTTCACTGACGCTCTGCGAGCCAGTGGCGCTGCAGTACGTTTCCAAGGTAGCTTCCGGGAAGAGTCATCAGCTTTGATGTGGTTGGGTAGAGGAGCAATTTGGTTGTGGTTTTGGCTGGAGGTGACACTGATTTGGTGACTCTCCAGTGTACTGTCTAACAGCACCATAGTGTGGGTTTTACCAGAACCTCAGTGCATGCACATGAACCTGACACTTGGCCGCTTTCAACAGCTGGGGACAAAGAAAATAGTCTTCCACGTTATATCTTTGTTTCCATTAGGGCACCTCTGGTTTCTCCATATTTAATCTCAGTGTTAAATCCTTCATCGATGTAGTTCATTAACTCCTTGAACAGATACTTACTGAGCACTTGTTATTTTCAGGCCCTGTGCTAGGCGCTGGAATTATAGCAGTGAACAGGATAGGCAAGGTTCCTGCTCTCATGATGCCTGTAATCTTTGGGGAAGGGTACGTAGGACAAGTAAGTTAAAAGATAAATTCACAGGGTGATAAGACCTATGAAGAAGGTAGGACAGGTTGCTGTAATAAAGCTGACATGGGGACAGGGAAGACGCAGCTGTCAGAATTAGTGGTCAAGGAACTCCTGTGTGAAGACGTGGCACTTTGAGCCAATTACTGACCGTAATGAAGGAGCCTTTTGTAGGACATTGTAGGGGAAGAGAGCTCTGGGCAGAGGAATCTAAGTTTAAAGACCCATAGGAGGGAATGTTTTGGAATTGAGGTGAGAGACGTGAGTAGGACCCTTAGGTTGGAGACCAAACTAAGGAGTTTGCATTTTATTCTTAGTGCTATGAGGTGCTGCTGGCAGTTCTAAGCAGGTGGTTTTTTTTAGTAAATCAGTGGCTGGCCAAGCAAGGCCCAGTGGTTAATTCATGCCCTGCTGAAATTACTTGTTTAAGGTTCAAGGAGGCTGGTTAGACAGTTGTCCCTCGGTATCTGCAGAGAATTGGTTTTAGAACCTCCCTGTATACTAAGATGTGCGGATGCTCAAATCCTTTACGTAACAGTGTAATACAGTCAGCCCTCCGTATCCTCGGGTTCCACATCTGCAGATCAACCAAAGTTCAGTCTGAGGTTGGTTGAATCTATGGATTCAGAACCAGGGGGATACAGAGGGCTGACTGTAGTAGACAGCTCTAGATCTTGGAGAGTCCTGGAAAATGGCCTCTTTTTTTTTTTTTTTTAATTATAGTTGACTTACAATATTAGTTCAGATGTACAACAGTGATCTGATATTTGATATTGGACTGTACTCCATATAAAGTTATTATAAAATATTGGCTATATTCCCTGTGCTATACATTGCATCCTTGTAACTTACTGCTTTTATACCCAGTCCTTTGTACCTCTTAATCCTCTTCCCCTATCTTGCCTCTCCCCCCACCCCTTTCCCCACTGGTAGCCACTAATATGTTCTCTGTTTCTGAGTCTGTTTCTGTTTTGTTATATTTGTTCATTTGTTTTATTTTTTAGATTCCACATATAAGCAAAAACACAGTATTTGTCTTTCTCTGTCTTATTTCACCAAGCATAATACCCTCCATGTTGTTGCAAATGGCAAAATTGCATTCTTTCTATGGCTGAGTAATATTTCTAATTCCTTTAGATGGTAGGTTAGGTGGATTGAGATTTTTTCCTGTTTCTTGAGGTGGGCCTGTATTGCTGTAAGCTTGCCTCTTAGAAGGGAGTTTTTGCTGCATCCTGTGGATTTTGTAAAATTGTGTTTTTATTTGCACTGTCTTAAGGTATTTTCTGATTTCCTCTTTGATTTCATGATTCATCCATTGGTTTTTTTTGTTTCTGTTTTTTAGTAGCATCTTGTTTAGTCTCCATGTGTTTGTATGTTTTTCTTTTTTCTTCTTGTCACTGATTTCTAGTTTCATAACTGTTGTCATTGGAAAAGATGCTTGATACATTTTCAGTTTTCTTGAATTTATTGGGACTTGTTTTGGGGCTAGCATGTGATCTCTCCTGGAGAATGTTCCACGGGCACTTGAAAAGAATGTGTATTCTGCTGTTTTGGGACAGAATGTCCTGCAGATATCTATTAAGTCCATCTGGCCTAATGCGTCATTTAAGGTCACTGTTTCCTTTTTTTCCCCATTTATTTATTTATGGCTGTGTTGAGTCTTCGTTGCTGTGCACGGGCTTTCTCTAGTTGTGGCGAGCGGGGGGCTATTCTTCATTGCAGTGTGTGGGCTTCTCATCGCAGTGGCTTCTCTTGTTGCGGAGCACAGGCTCTAGGCGTGCGGGCTTCAGTAGTTGTGGCACACGGGCTCTAGAGCACAGGCTCAGTAGTTGTAGCACACAGGC